ACCCCAGCAAGTCCTCACAGTAGTCGTGAGGTTGGTATTCTTATCCCATTTTGCAGATGAGGGATCAGAGGCTCAGAGAAGTGAAGTGACCTATCTACTGTCACATGGTTTGTGAGCGGCAGACAGGATTCAAGTCCAGATCTGTCTCCTGCTAGAGCCAGAGCTCTTGAGCACAAGGTTCTACTGCCGTCTTCAATCTAGAGGCATGGGCTTTCTTGTTTTTCAGATGTCACTATGTGGAGGGGGTTGTAATTAATGAGAAAGGTAGATGGGAAACAGTTTCCATTATTGAGGAAGAAAAAGCAATCCAAGAACATAGTCCATGGCCCAACGGGGGTCCGGAAGTCCTTAAGGCTGGGAGCAGCCCATTGTCTCTGGCCTCTCAGCCTCTTGGCTTCTGCCTGTGTTTACACAGCTCAGTGGGACCAAAAGGTGAGGGCTTTTAGCCCCTGTGTCTATGGGAGTCAGCCAGTCGGTTCGCCAACTCCTGGGACCTAGGTGGGGTCCAGGGCAGAAGTGGAACTAAGGCAGTGCAAAACCCAACACCAGCAGGGAAGGAAGAGACAGTGGTGGAGGGCACCGGCCTTGGGGTGAACCCATTTGCTTTCAAACCCAATTCTGTTCTTTACTATCCCAAACGCTCTGAGCAACTTTTTCAACTCATCTGTAAAAATAACTCTCCTAGGTCATGCAGGACCAAATCGAATGAAATAATGGGCAAGGAAAGAGTTTGGGATTCCCTGCTGTGTTCTATGTAAAGAGCGCTTGTTATGATTAGGAGGGCTAAGGGCTGAACCTTACCGCACTTGTAATTCACTTCAACTACTAACCAGTGTTATTGTTTGTTTAAGTTACCCTTTTCCTGAACTCTATCACGCCATCGATTTATACAGTTTGAGATGTTTTTGAAGGTGGTGTCTGGCTTGGGCTCCTTGCAGTTGGAGGCTGTGAGCCACAGCAGGGGCTGAGGAAGTTAGGACCCCACCCAGGGCCGGGTCACAGCCACTTCTCTAAGACCCCAAGCACTTACTGTTTTATGAAGTGAAGCCGGGCTCTCCTCCGACGGCCTAAAAGAAGAAACCAAGAACATCAGTTGGCATGGGCTGGGTGCAACACCAAGACCCCGAGAGCAAGGAGGGTGGTAAGAGGGACAGCTAACACCTCAGACCACTTCCCTGGTGCCAGGCTGTGCTTCATCTTCATGGGTTTTAACTCCCTTCATACTCACAGCAAACCTATGAGTTGGACACCACTCTTATTATCTCCATTTTGTATACGAGGAAACTCAGACACGGAGCAAGTGACTTACTAACTTGCCCAAAGTCATGCAGCTAGTATGTGGTAAAACCAGAATTCACTCATACTCAGTCAACCTGCTCCAGTCTGTGTATCCTTAAACATGCTAGCTTGCCCTCCTTCATAGCAGGTCAGGAACGAGAGGCTGTACAGACAGGTGGTCTGAAAGCAGAGCATGCGTATTCGGGAAATGTGCAAGGTTTCCCATTGGGATGAAGAAAGGACATATGAGCATGGTTATTTACAAGTTTATCTCACCCTTTATTGCTTTTTATTTATTTTTTATTTTAGAGAACAAACTCCTGACTTGTTTACTGTTATTTTGACTTACTACTACTCAAAATTGAACCTAACTGTAATCAAGAATTCAATATTAACAGATAAGCAGTTTGATTCCTTCTTTACACTATAATGGAGATAATGACAGGAGAGAGAAATGATCTGATGAGACAGAATGGCTTCTTTGCAAATGGCCGGTTGAGATGGAAAAACCAGGTTTTTCAGTTGGCCCGGTGCCAGGGCCCCAAGTTCAACTCAACCCCTCAATAGTCTCAGCTTTGCAGCCCCTGAGAAGGCTGCCTCACTGTCCACTAGTCAGCCGGGAGCACCTTCTTGTAGAACACACAGTGTCTTATTCCACAACGGTGGAACCCAGGGGCCAGTGATCAGGCAGAAGGGCGAGCCCCATGCAGCAAGACACCACTCCCCTTTTTCCCTGGATGGCAGGAAACTGGTTGAGAGTTTAATTTCTTCCACGTAGGGGGCCAAAGAGAATCAGCTGACAGTTATGTGGACAGTGGCAGAAGACCGCTGCAAGATTTCTCTCACGGCGGAGAGGTGCCTGACTCCACCGTGCCAGCAACTTGGTGGTTCCCGTCTACAGCATCCTGAGTAGACTGGGGCTGAGGGAGTCTGCGGTCAGCACATGAGTCTAAATATTTAATTAGTCTATGAAGAAGGTTCCCCGGTAGGCACTGCCGTACCCATGCACAAACTTTATCTAACTCAGCAATGCTATATTTTCTAAAGGCCAGTGTTTAAGAAGGATGAGGAAATTGCCATATAATTGTGCCTGTATTTGCCCCTTCATCACAGCGCCCATTCTAAAAATCCCACTGGTCATTATTAATTATGAGTCAGTTGTTACCTTGTACTAAGGCCCTTCCTTTCTCTGAAATCTACCCTCCCTCAGCTCCCCACCCACACACCAGATATCATCCCATCACACTACTTTTCACACCATTTTTCCGTCTGGTCCCTTTTAAATTAAACCAAAGTTGGCTTTCTTTCTAGCCAGTTTTCCTACAGTGATTTTCTCACATCTTTTTTCGAACTCTCCCTCTGCTCTGTCATCAAAATCCGGGCTTTTTGCCTTGTTCCTATTTATTTGGATTTCTTCTCACTCATTTTCATTCAGATTTATCTCCACACTCCCCTCTATCCCAACAGAATGCATTTCTGAACTGCCAAGAATGTTGTGCTTTGGGAATCTTTCCTTGAGCATAATTCACCTCTTTACTGAAGGCTTTCCATCACTGCCCAAATCTTTCTGGTCATGTCTACCTGACTTCCCACAAAAGTGTAAATATTAGGAAAATATACCTACAAATAAACAAGTTACAAAGTTGTCAGAAGTCCAGTTTTAGCACAGATTGGTTTTTAACATTAGAAATCCTTCTACCAGTATCTTTTATTATATGCTATTATCTTTTTTTATATATTGCTTTTTATGTTTGATTTAATGACACACATAATATATTAAATAAATACAGCTAATTGAGGTTAGTGTTTATTATTTAAAAATTTTTTTGCTAGTAAGTTCTGTGATTTAAATGTTTGCAGACCACTGAACTTGCGTGGAGTTCTTAGAATGGATAAATGGATCCCTTTGTGGGTGGCAATTGTATGCAAAAGTGTGTCCATGACACATTTCTCTAGGGAGAGGGTCCATAATTGTCATCTCATGTTCAAAGGAATCTGTGACCTATAGAAGAGCCACTGATCCAGTCCATTCCCCTGAAGGCCACCGCTTCCCATTTTATAGAAACCCAAAAAGGGTAAGTGACTTGCTTGGGGTAGCACAGGTGAGCCTGGGGCTCTGGGCTCTCAGGCAGCTGTGTGGGCCTCCCCTGCAGCTGGGGGCCCATAGAAGAAGGTGATTCTATCTTCAGAGTGGTCGAGAGCAGCAGCCATCTCTGAGTTTCCCTACAGCCTCAAAGAGGAGGAGGATTTCTAGTTTCTGGGAACATAACCCAAACCCCAGTTCAATCTCTTCTATGTACTGCTTCCATCCCAACTGCTCACAGGAGTTCTTTCTTACTGAGCACATACCCTAGCTGGGCACTTTGGGCAGGACTTTACAAATAGCAACCCTGGGAGGTCGATAATATTGCCCCTGGGTAGGGCAGCTGAGGCTCAGAGAGGCCAGGGCATACACCCAAGGTCACTAAGCCAGGAAGTAGCAGCATTGGATTCAAACCTAGATTTGTCTGACTTCAGAGACAGGGTGGTCTCCAACCCCTGCAGTATATGGCTTCATGTCAAGAATCACCTCTGGAACTACCTCTGGTTCTCAGGGTGCAAATTTCCATTAGGCTCACATCTGCCTTGCTCCCCTAGAGTAGCAAGGACCCCCAGGGACACCTCCAACAGCAAAAATGGATCACCACGATGGCCCAACAGGGGACAACTTACAGTATAGGTGAATGGCCACACCCAAGGACACCAGCAGAATCAGGATACCGGCCAGTAGCAGACCGAGGGTGAGGGGGCCACAAAGCGGGCCTGGAAGACACACATATTGAATATTTGAGACACACAAATAAATATGAAGAGGAAAAATCAACTGGAAGCCCACCTCCCAGAGAAAATCAATGTTTGAATAGTTCCTCTTAGCCTTTTTTCTAGGCACTTTAAACACATTGAGATAATTTTATATGTAAAATCTCATGTCCCACATCCAAATTAAAAGAATTATTAATTAAACTCAGGAGCTATTTATATTCAAAAGAAATAGACAATTTTTGTGACTAATAATGGGATTTTTGTTATTGATTTTTAAAACTTTTATTTTAATTTCATAAGAAGTAGCTGAATATATTTTCACTGTAAAAGATTCAAGTACATGCCCCTTGACATCCTTACTCCCTCACAGCAGTAAATGCCATTGTTAATTTCGTACCTTTCTCTTTGCATTTTCACATATATAATTTACATATAGTTTTTAAAAAATAGAGTGGATTATACTGTACAAATTGTTCTGCAATCATTTTTTTTCCCTTCACTTAAAACATGTCTGCCCATTCTTTTTTCTAGCAGACTAACATTTGAAGTATGGATGTACTGTGGATTATTTTGCCATCAGTGGACATTTTGTTTTGTGTTTTACTTTTATAAACAACTCTGCAGAGAACATCCTGGTATGTTTCTTTTTACGGAGGAGCCTGCCTGATGCAGATACTGAAAACAGGAACTAATAAACCATAGACTATGTCCATTTTAAATTGTAATAGATACTGTCAAATGCCTTCCAAACAGTCTACCCTGATTTCCATTCCCAACCCCCAATTGTGCACCCTGCCAACCCTTGATATTATCAAAGGTTTTAGTGTTTGTCAGTCCAGAGGGTGGAAAATGATATTTTACTTCAATTCCCTGATTATTGTCAACTTCAGCCTATTTTCATATAGTGGCCAGTTCTTTTTCGTCTATGAGTTGCCTATTTATTCCTTTGCCCATTTCGTATACCATTGAAACAACAAAGTTTATATTATAAATGCCCCAAATGTTTCTCTGACACCATGCCTCCTATGGCTGGTCTCTGTGAGTAGTTGAGGGGCAGAACCAGAACTCATGGGTGAAAACGACGAGGCTGCAGATTTGGGATCGAGGTTAAAAAAATTAGAGAGTTTTGGATATTAGGGAAGGGAGAGAATGTTTATTGAATGCCTATTATGTGCCAAGTGCAATACTAACTGCAAACTTCCATCTTGTGAGGAAGGAAGGTATTACTATCATTTTGATCTCTCATTTTACAGTTCAGAAAAATCAAGAGTCAAAGAGGTTAAATTACACGCCCATGGTTACCCAGCTACTAAAAGGTAGGACCAGGGTATGAACCCAGATCCTCCAAGTTCTAAAGCCTCTGCGGGCCCCACCACGACAGCTTGAGGGTATGAGAGGTAGTGAGGAAATGGAGTGGGCCCCTCCATGGGAGGGAGCCCGCCATCGCCAAGGCTGGATGGTGCCATTTGGAGGGGAGATTTCTGCGCTGGGTGGAAGGTTGAGTGAGAGGCCCTTGGAAGTCCTTCCTACCTCTGAGATGCAGGGGTTTCTGTCTGCCTCCCCCTCACCTCTTCCATGTTCTCCCAACCTGGATGAACCTCAAAAACATGATGCTAAGTGAAAGAAGCCAGGCATGAAAGACCATGTATTGTATGATCCCATTTACATGAAATGTCTGAAAGAGGCAAATCTATAAAGACAGAAAGTGGATTAGTGGTTGCCAGGGGCTGGGGTGGGAACAGGAACTAGCTGTAAACAAGTATGAAGGATCTTCTTGGGGTGATGGACATGTCCTAAAACTGGATTGTGGTGATGGTTGCATAACTTGGTAAATTTACTAAAAATCATTGAGTTTTATGCTTAAAATGGGTGAGTTTTATGACATGCAAATTATACTTGATGAAGTGTTTTTCTTTTGTTGTTGTTTTTTAAGTAATTGAGGTGGGTGAAGGCTGCAGGGTGGTGCAGAGCACAAAGGTCCTCCTCTCCTTCTGAGGGAGGGTGGGTCAGGGGAGGCCTCCTGAAGGGTGGTCATAAGTGAACTGGAAGCCAGCAGCCCAGCTGCAGATCCGAGGGGTTGCATGATCATCTACCCAAAATGTGGCTCCAGGAAAAGCTGTTGCTTCTAATGAAGGCGGTGAAAAGCCTGCGTGTGCGGGGAGCTGGTGGCCAGAGCCACATCAGTGATGCACGGCCCGGCTTCCTCGCCTCACTTGGGTCTCGGGGTCTCCTGAGGTCTGGATTTCACCAGATTTCTCTTGTGACAGTGGTTTAGAAATTGCCCCCCAGGACCTCCCAGTGTCTCTCAAAGGACAGCCCTAAGTCCTCCCCATGGTGGCCAAGTGGGTTTCATTCATGATAATGAGCTTTGAGCTGTGTCCGGGTGCTCTGCCAAGCTGAATGCCTTGTGTATAGGATCTCATTTACTCCTGCCTTCCCTTTAGCTAGGTAAACATCCCCATTTTACAGATGAGGAAACTGAGGTTCAGAAAGGTTGACTCACTTGCTTAAGTTCACACAGTACAGGCAATGGTTGACTGGGATTCCAACCAAGGCCTGGCTGACTTACCACTGGGCAGTACTGCCCCATGGTCCCCTCCTCCCCAAATGCAACATCCAGCTAATCCCCCCTCCCACTCCACTTGGCCATCTCCACACACATTTTCGTTATTCTAAATAAACTACTAACGTTGAATTTCCATTTTGCCCCAGGATTTCACTGAGCATTGATGTAAGAAATGATGCAAGAAATGTGAAGACCTTTCTTCCATCATTTATAAAAGTGTTGCTGGATTTGTTTGTGTCCTCACCTTCATGGCCCTGTGTAGTTGCTCTTGTGCCTTTTTTTATTGTGCCCTGCCTGAAATCCTTTAGGCCAAATTGTGGGGCATAAACTTTGTAAAACGAGGTCGCTCTGCCTCCACCTTTATGCTCCCCAAGTTGCTACCCTCGTACATGGATTCTGAAGGTTTTATTTTTGCTGTGATCTCATGTGGCAGCTTGCTGCTCCCATCTCCTAGATCTTGTTAGACGTCTTTTCCAGACTCTTTCTGGTACTTTATATACATTTTAGACAAAGCAACCCCAGCAGCATGAAGCAGCCTGGTGTGGCTGCTTGTGGTTTTTTCTATGGGTTGGAGCAGATGGCACTTTCTGTTTGTCACCAGTAACTTTTGGGGAACAGAGGTCAATACTAATCCAGAAACACATGTGGCTGATGAGTTCAAGGAAAGTGTGTGTGTGCCTGTGCATGTGTGTGTGNGTTAGTCTCTTATGGTTCACATGGGCCATCTCCAAGCGAGCAGCCCATCTTCAAAGTGAACCAGGGAAAAGTCTGGTCCCAGCAGACTTTTCCCCCTCCCCTCAGCCTTGGGAGGCAGCCTGTCCTGTTGCCCTTAAAGCTCATAGGCAGAAAACTTTTGCTTCTCTTGAACACTTCCCACATCTCCACCCTTCTAACTCCCACCAAGCACACCTAATTCTGTTGTGCCCTACAACCCCACAGGTAGCATCTCAGATGCCAGGAGATGGTCACACTACCCCTTCTTCATGTTCTGTGGCTGCCAGAACATGAAGATGCCTGGACAGAACATGCCTGAACAGACCTGGTTTGCCAATGCCCTCTTCAATCGCACCTCTCAGTCCAGAGTGGGGCTGGAAAAGCAGGTGGGACTCTCTTCTTCTTTGACATGGGCATGGTACTTCTGTTAATGCAGCCTAAGGTTGAATTCTTTGTTTGGCTCAATGGCTCTCTGCTGCTAACGCCCAGATGGGGAGCNGTGTGTGTGTGCCTGTGCATGTGTGTGTGCCTGTGTGTGTGTGTGTGTGTGTGTGCCTGTACACGTGCGCGCGCGCGTGTGTGCGCGCTCCTGTGTCTGTGTGTGTGTGTGTGTGTGTGTGTGTGTGTGTGTGTGTGTGTGTGTGTACTCCAGCTGCAGTGTCTGGTGCTTATAGCACAGAGCGGCGAGCTGGTTCACTCACAAACAAACATATATTAGGCACATACTATGTGTTAGGTCCTCTGTTAGGCATCAAAACTGGGGAAGTTTAAATCTGTGGTCCTTTGGGTTGTGTTTTTTGTTAGTTTGTTAGTTAACAGCTTTATTGAGATATAATTTACATATTATAAAGTTCACCTGTTTAAAGTGTATAATTTAATGTTTTGTTTCTTTGGTAAATTCACAGAAATGTGCAACCATCACCACAATCTAATTTTAGAACATTTGGATCCCCCCAAAAGAAATCTTGTACCTATTAGCAATCACTCCCCATTCCTTCCCCAACTCCCCAGCCTTAGGCAACCACTAATTTACTTTGTATGGAATGTCATATCCTGGACATTTCATATCAATGGGATTATATAATACATAGGTTTTTGTGGCTAGCTTCTTCCACTGCAAATATTTTCAAGATTCATCCATGTTGTAGCATGAACAGTACGACGTTTGACAATTAAGTTTGTGAATTCATCCTAAAAAAAGTGCTACAAACCTATTGCTGAATATCACTACGGTCACTTTTGAACTATTCCCTTTGGGGAGCTGTGCACTGACACCAGCACCTAGTCCACCCTTCAAAGCAATTTTGGAACTCTTTTTCTGGAATGGCCATCAGAACCGTCATCATATTACCATTGATGTCCTGAATGTCATCAAAATGTCTTCCTTTCAATATTTCCTTTATTTTCAGGTAAAGATAGACGTCACTGAGGGCCAGATCAAGTGAGTAAGGAGGGTGTTCCAATACAGTTATTTGTTTACTGGCTAAGAACTCTCTCATAGACAGTGCCGTGTGAGCTGGTGCATTGTTGTGATGCAAGAGCCATGAATTGTTGGCGTAAAGTTCAGGTCGTCTAACTTTTTCACGCAGCCTTTTCAGCACTTCCAAATAGTAAACTTGGTTAACTGTCCAGGTGGTACAAATTCATAATAAATAATCCCTCTGAGATCAAAAAAGGTTTAGCAACATCATTGCAAAAAGTTCGTGAACTTAATTGTCAGACCTTCGTACTTAATTCTTGATTATGACCAAATAATATTTCATTGTATGGATATTCCATATTTTGTTAATCCATTCATCAGTTGGTGGGACATTTGAGTTGTTTCTACTTTTGGGCTATTATGAATAATGCTGGTAGGAAAATCTGTGTGCAAATTCTGGGTGGATATATCCTTCACTGTTTTGTCCTGTGGCAATTGGTGAGTGTGTCCCCTACTAGACTGTGAGCTGCTGGAGGACAGCACTGCTCTCATACTCAGCTTCCCTTCTGACCTCAGCTCAGGACTAGATAAACAGGTTCAAATAGCTGCACTTGGGAAGGGCTTGCGGAAGGAAGGGAGGAAGGAAAGAAAAAAGAAAGGCAGTGAGTGAGACTGTCTCTTGTTCTAAGAATCCAGGGGGACAGAAGAACTCACGCTTCCGGGTCACCAGGCTTGTGTTCCGGCACATTCTCTTTTTGGGAGTGGTCTTCTTTGTGGGCTGGGCAGTGGTGGGAAGGACATCAACTACAGAAAGCAAGCAAGATACGTATCTTAGGCAGGTAAACAGCGGGTGGACTTAGAGACAAAACTTAAAACTGCAACTCTTACCTCCAGGTACTGAAGTCCTTGTCACTAACTATTCCCTAGGCTGCTATGGGGCTCGAAGGTCACAGAACAATAAAATGCTTTACCTGCTGCCCCAACTCGCAGGTCTATCTGTGGGCCTAGGGTGGGGGGTCACATTGGTGACCTAGAAAGAGAAAGGCTCTGGAACTACACAGATCTGAACAGAGCCCCAGCACCCCTGATTAAACACTGTGTGACTTGGAGCAAGTCGTATCACGTTTCTGTGCCTCAGTTTCCCCATCTGCTGAAATAAAGAGGGTCCCCACCTACTTCTTGGGGTTGTTACGGGAGCCAAAGGGGACAGTGTGCCCAGCAAAGTGTGAAGCAGACATGGCTCTACCTGGGCTGAAGCCAGAGTCCCCAAGCCCTTGGTACGACCTGCCAAGCCCTAAGCGGGTAGAGGAAGCTCACAGAAAGGGGATGGGTGCCTTTTTCTGTACGTACAACACCATGTAGGTTGTATATATTGGGATTTTTCTTTCCTTCTCAGGTACCTTTAAAAATCATATACTATCAAAACCAGGAGGGATCTTTAGCCTCAACCTTTAATTTCAAAGGTGAACACCAGCAAAATTAAGGGGAGGGGCTGATCCCCAAGGCCTACAGTGGAAAGGGACTCCAAACCCCTCTCCTGACTTCTGGGTGGATCACTCCTCCTCTATTTTGTTCTAATTCAGTGTCACAAGCTGAAGTGTTGGGACACAGCAGTGGGACAAGTACACAGAGCAAAGGGAGAGGCCTGAGGCACTGAGGTGCTGACGAATGGTGTTAGTACTAGGTGCCACTGAACCCAACCTTTGCCTGTGGGTTGAGGAAAGACATTTCACTGAAATGATTTTCTACAAAATGATAGGAGAGGGAATAGGGTGACACCATGAATTTAAATTCTAGAGTCAAGGAGACAGGGACGGGCAGCCAACAAATTGGTCACTTTGGGGCTGGCTTCTTCCATATAAAAAGTGGACGCTTTGGTCCCTCACCACCCTGAGTCTCCTGTGGAAATTAGGGATAACATGCTCTGCTCTGCCTGCGTCATGAGGTTTCGAGAAGAGCCAGCTAACTAGAATGAACACTTTCTAAGTTACCATGTGCTAGTGGCAGTGCCAAGCACTTCAGCTTAAGTTTATTAAATGCAATAGCTTTTGGGACAGACAGTATTATCCCCATTTTATTCCCGAGGAAGCCAAACTGAAAAAACTTGCCCAAAGATTGGGAGGCAATAAACAGCTGAACCAGGATCTGAGTCAAAAGACTCCGATTCTAGGCTCTCATTGTGTCACACAGCCTCAGATGCAAATGCTTTTTTTCACAAAAAGTTAGGCACATCAGGTTGACCCAAGGCCCTGGTCATCAGAGTGCTGGGGGAAACTAGTATAAAAGGAAAAACCAATGGGCCGGCCGAGTGGCTCAGTTGGTTAAGAGCTCGCTCAAGAGTTTGAGCTCTGAGCAACAGCAGTTCGAGTCCAGCCCGAGCTGAGCAGCTGCTGAGCTGCCAACAGGTAGCAGGATGGCTCAGCTAAAAAAAAAAAAAAAAAAAAAGGAAAAACAACATCGGCTACAGTGCTCTGAGGGTGTGTTAGGGGCCTGGCCCTCGGAGAGGGGGTGTCGTAGCATTCTGTTATCTCTTTCAATTCTCAAGACCCTAGAAGTGTTCATTCCCCTTACTTTACGCATGAGCGGGCATAGGGGTCTCTCAGAGGGTCAATGGTGAGCTTGGCAAGGGAGCCAGCTCTGTAGGACCTCAGTGTCTTGGCTGGGCACAGTAGCCTGGGTCTGATGGGGGTTTGTGAACAAGCTTATTACATTTTAATTTCTTCTTGCCTAGAGCCAGGTCCTTTCGCCTCTTCCTGACACTTTCTCTTCGCAGTTCAAATCCGCACCCGTCCCTCTTGTCTTTGAAAAGGACCCATCGTGTGCTTAAGGGGCCTGAAAACGGCCGTATCTTTCCCTGGATACTTTCTCTACTACCTGGCTCCTTTTTTAAAATGAACTGGCCTCTGGCAGGAGGTGGACGCTGAGTCTGGATTCCCTGCCCCTGTGGAGGTGATATGGTCGCAATACATGTGCGTTGGGGAGGGATTGCTATTCTCAAGATCTAGGCAGTAGGAGGGGTTTGGGAATATCAAAACCAGGAGTGAGTGGGTGGTGGTGGAGGTGGGCAGCTCCTGAAAACCAGTTGTGTTTATTTCGCCTCCCACTTTTCTTGGCCCTGAAATCTCATTAATGGGAAGATTTGGGACTTACAGAGACAAAAACAATAAACTAAACCCAAACCCCTAACCCCCGAAAGCCCAATTTCTAAAGCCAAACAGGAACCTTTGAGGGTTTCTGCTACGATTCCTTTGCACCCTTGCTTAATCCTCACTGTTCAGTATGGCAGCCACTTGTCACATGTGCCTGTCTGACCCAAGATGTGCTCTACATGTAAAACACACATGGAATGATTAGTATGAAGAGGGAATATAAAATATTTCAGTAATAATTTTATCTTGATTACATTTTGAAATGATAATATTGTTGATAAATTGGGTTAAATAAAATACACAATGTAAATCAATTTCACATTGTTTCTTTTTTACTTTTTTTTACTTTTTACTTTTTCCAATGTGGCTATCGGGAAAGTTAAAATTACATCTGTGGCTCGCATTATATTTTTACTGGATGTGCTGACGTAACTTATGAGAAACTGCAGCTTTTGAGGGCTGGAGGGATCATGGAGGCCATCAGCAGCTCCATGACACAGATGAGAAAACTGAGGCCCAGGGAGGGGAATGACCTGCCCACAGGCACACAGTGAATTTGCAACAGAATTTGCAGTTGGCCTTGGGGTCTAGTCTCCTCTTTTCCTACAACTCTGAATGTGGGTTCAAAGACCATGAGGGCATCTGCCCCTCCACTAGCCTTGTGTGTGCACTCTGAGGGGATTTCTGAGATCATCGTCAGGCCTGGGGACTCAACCCAATCCAGCCACAGCCTCAGGTGGGTTTGATGTGGCCGAGGGACAATGCAGTCCTGTCTCCATAAGAAGCAGCAATGGTTTCAAGCATCCCATTTACAATGGGAATCATAATAGGGCCTACCTCCCAGCTCGGTTGTCAGCAATAAATGAGATAACACAAAACACTTGCACATGCTTGGCCCTAGGTAAGACTCAAGATACATTGTCTGTTACTATTAGCTGTAGTGCTACTGCTCATGCTGTCATCACCTCCTGCAGGGTTAGGCTTGCTGAAAGTGGAAGCAGCACCCATGCCTGGGTGGCGCCTGGTGCACACAGGTGCTCAGTGCTCATCCATAGCATTGAGCCAGAGTCTTACCTACACTCAGCAGAGTTCCCTTCCCAAAGGTCAGCTCAGGGGTCCCAACGGTCATGCAGAAGTAGGCTCCACTGTCCGAAGGCTTCACATTTGTGAGATTGAGAAAGAATTGGGTCACTCCCCCGAACATAATTAGCCTCTCCTTCTCCACCTCCTTGCCATAATGCAAAGTCTTTTTGGTGGGATCCCAGGCAACCAGGAACTCGTGGCGGCTGTCTATGCTTGGGGCCTGGCGCTGTCTCAGCCAGTAGATGCGTGCGTTAGAGGGGAAGGATTTGGCTTCACAGACTAGCTTCGCCGTTTGGTTGGTCTCAGCGTGAATGTCCTTAGGAGTCAGCCAGAGTACAGAGCTGCCATGGAGAGCTACGAGAAACAGAAAGAACAAAGGCCATCAGCACATTTTCCTGGCCACAGTGGTGGGGTCTGACAGTCACCCCGAGTCTAGTATCAAAAGAAAAGCCATCAAAGAAGCTGCCCAGTTGCAGGGTCTGGAGGCTGGTGGATCCTGGACTCAAGAGCTCAAGCAGCCCACCTCCTAGGAGATCGTCTGCAAGGCGGGTGTTTCCTCCGTCCAGTACTAAACGAACAGGGAAGAGAGCTGCCATTTGTTGGCTGCATGCTTATATGCCCGGCTCTATGCATAATTATCTCAGCCAGGCCTCAAACTTACTTCGGGATTTCTATCCCTATTACCCAGATGAGGAAACTGAGGCATGACGTTATTTGTTCAAAATCCCACTTACAGCTAGTAAGTGACATGGGATTCAAACTCAAAGATTCAAAGTCTGAAGTCAAAGCCTTTCACCTTGCCCTGCTGCCACTCCAAGTATAGACCTTCAAGAGGCTCCAAGCACCTGAAGGAGACCCAGAACAAGCTGGAAGGGGAGCTCAGAATCACAGGCAGAGCACAGGGTTGGTCTGGCCAACCAAAAAGAGGGCCAGCCACAGTTTCTGGACAGCGATGGCAACCAGCAAGAGGAAATCACTGTCCCCTGGTAGGCACATTTAATGCCCATCACTCACCAACCCAGCCATTGATAGGTCACTGGATCCCCTTCCTGAGTGGAAGGACAGACACCTCAGAAGCAGGGCTGTGAGTTCATTTTAGTCTCAGACAGGAAGCACTTCAAGTACAGGATCGTTCATGGAAAACTAGAGCAGAACTCACAGACCTGACCTTGAATCCAGCCTCTGCCCCGCACCAGCTGTGGAACCTCAGGCAAGTCATGGAGCCTGTCTCTTCTCTTTAAAAAGAAGGCGGTTTGGGGCTGCTCTCCTGCCTGATTCTGAGGGTTAGAATGTCCAAGAAAGCAAACTGTAAAGCACTGTATACGGGTAAATCATTATCCACGTGTCTTACATATCAGGGCTTGTTACTGGCAGCAAATGAAATCTTAAGGAGAGGATTAGAATGGGTCCTTCACTGCCAAATCTAACAAACTGAATTTGATTTAGTGAGCCTTTCATTTTAGCTGCAGCGCAGAGGGAGAGCCTGCAGGCCAGGGCAGAGACCCAGGAGCAGTGAGGCACAGATCTGGGTAGGCTAAAGAGGCCAGAGGGCGTGTGTGTGTGTGTGTGTGTGTGTGTGTGTGTGTGTGTGTGTGTGTGTGTGTGTGTGTGTGTGTGTCCAAGAAGAGCTGGCTTACTAAGGGAGTGGCCCATATTCATAATCCTACTTATTCTTGTTCTCAGGGTCCATTGCTCCACGGCGGACTTCTCTAATACTGATGAAATGAACTTAAAATTTTCATTGACTCCACTCATAGCCACTCTGAGCTTCTGTTTGCATCAAGATGGTGCCCGAGGCCTAAGTGACTGCTAGCCTTCTCTTTTCTCCCCAAATATCATACTGCCTTTTCAGCAGCATAGAGGTTCTTCGTTGTTTTGGGTCACTGACCTCTTAGGGGAGACAACAAGAATCGAAAATGCCAGATATTTATTGAACGTGGTACATGCATTATCTCATTTAATTCTCACCAAATCCTGTCTTACACCCATCTTATGTATGAGAAAACGGAGATCTCAGGAAGGCTAAGGACATGTGCAAGGTCACACAGCCTATATATGGTCGATTCAGATTGAAACCCGTCTGTAGCCCCAGAACCTGAGCTTGGAGCTCCCTGAATTGAGGAAACCTGTGGTTCCAGGATCGAGGTCATATGCTCATGTGCACACAGTGGGACCACAAATACAGACTCCTGAAAACTTTCCAAGAAAGCCCAAAAGTGACTCCGTAAGGGGTAAAAGGGACAGGACAGGCACCAGGCTGTTGGTGTGCGTTCCCTCTCCTGCGTCCTAACATGAAGACTTCCTGGCTGGGACACACCCTTGTCTCTCTCCTGTGACCACTTGCTTTTCAGCCCCTGGAGACTGAACGTCCAGCAGTGGCTAATCCCCATCTATGTGCCGGGCACAGAAGTCTCATTTGATCCTCTCAGTAACCCAGTGACTCCATTCTCAGAGGGATCTGCTGTTTCTAAAATGACTGGCAAAAGCTTTAGTAGCTTTGAATAGCCTGGACTAGCTTCTACATCAAATGTTGAGCTCACTGGGTCAGAGGCCGGGCTGCCAGGCCTTGTCACCCATGGTGGGATGACCAGGTTTGGGCTTTTGTACAAAACAGTAAATCAACCACAAGTTAGTGGGCAGTTTGGGGAATGGAGGGGCTTCTTCTGAAAGGCAGTCTGACTGGGCTTAGTCAGAGGGACAGTCTAGACTTCCCCTTGCATTCCACTTCCAACATTTCCACTTCAACACTGCTTGTTACGGGACTCACACTACACATCCACCCCTTGAGGAATATTTGAGAAACAGGGGACCCTGAAGGAATATCGGCCGTACCTGTCTGTGAACTGGCAACAGCTTGGTATGTGGCTGATTGTGCTATAAAAATTTGCCCGGAAGTAATAAAAATGTGTCTACAGAACCCTGGGCCAAGTGAGGTGCACCAAAGCCAGAACTGGGCCCCTGGCACCTTCCCGGGAGCACATCCCTGTTGGGACCCTGGACAAGGGCATTTTTCCTTCCTTTGTGGACTTCCTCTTTTTCTTCTCTTCTTTCTATCTCCTTACCTCATTCCCTCCCTCCTTTCTGTTCTCCCTCCTTCTCCTCCCTGTCTCCCCTTCTCCTAGCTCCATGATTTAGAAAGTGGTGGCCTCAGCCCTGGGGCTCCCCAGATCCCTGGTAATGAGTTCCTTGGAGGATTTCCCTTCCCACCCTAAGTTCCTGCGGCTGCCGCTCCATCCCCAGGTGCCGCGCAGCCCTGGGCTCTGGGATCTGCATCTACCAAGAGTCGTTTCTAAACTCCACCGCTCTGGTGCAGCACAGACCACCCGCCTCAGCCCCGTGCACCTCGTCTCCCCAGCTTACCCGCCAGCTGTGCTGCGAGGAAGAGCCAGAGACCACGAAGCAGCATCTTGTCCTGGACACCTGGTCCCAGCGGGGCTCCGCTGAGATAGTCCCGCCTGGGGGGATGGGAGGGGTGGGAAACGGGACCAGGCAGGCGGGGCAGCAGTGGCGGGGTAAGTAACAAGGAGGGGGGCGGGACCGGGTGGGAGTCTGGTGTGAGGACAGTAAGGGCTCCGCCCTTATCCTCCGTGCATTTCAAAGGTCTTGCCTCTTTCAGAAGAGTCCACTAGGAATCCCTGCTTTCAGTTAAGAAGGTGACACCGCTGTCCTGAGCCAAACACTTGCACGTGTGTGATCGCCTTCTGCCCTGGGAGGGTGGTCAGAACAGGGTCATGACTCCATGTGACAGTTGAGGCAACTGAGGCTCAGAGGTCAGGATGTTCAACATCCCACAGGAATGAGTAGTGGAGCTGGAGCCTAACTCGGGTCACTTTTTTTTCTTTTTGAGTAGTTATTGTGAGCCTCCTGGGTGCCCTGGGCTCAGTGGGGCCTGCGGTGACCAAGACCTGGACCCTGCCCTCAAGGGCACACACCTGTGAGGAACAAAGGCAAGTTAACTGACTGTGACACAGCCTGATGCCTGAGGAGGTGAGCTGGGGCCACAGAGCCCCTAACCCTGCCTGGGGGTGGGACGAAGCCCAACCTAGCCCTTTCGGGCTCCAGAAGGGATGAGAAGATCATGGGGCTCCCCTCCTCTCCCTACATGTGTAATTCCTGTTAAAATAACACTAAAATGAGAAATTAGCAAAAAAATCAACAACGATGACTACTTTGAGGCTGCGTGAGTGTGTGTGCCCTGCTTTCCCGCTCTGCACATGCCCTGCAGCTCTGTCTGCAGCTGTGTCATCCAGCCCTGGTCAGGGAGACTTGTCAGCGTACTCTTCCTGTTCACACCGGGGTTACAGAGGAAGGGGGTTGGGGAGTTGGGGGAGGGCGTTCCAAGGAGGAGAACAGAGTATGCGAGGGCCTGCAGGGAAGGGGGAGCCTGCGAGGGCCTGCAGGGAAGGGGGAGCCTGCGGAAGGCTGTGGGAGGAGGCCACGTGATCAACAAGGAACTAGACACACAGGCCCTGTGGGTCACCCGAACAGCTTGGAGTTTATCTATGAGGGGATGGGGTGTCACAGGAGGTCCACAGCAGGTAGCGGGGCAGCGACACCGTCAGCTTCGGGGTCCATCCCACCCCGCCCCGGCTCCTTTTCCCGTTGCTGGTGATAGGCCCTGCTGCCTTAGGTGCAGAGTTTAGTCACTAAAGGGGAAGGAGTGTGTCCTGAGTGTGGGGCTGCTCCCCCAGCTGGGTCAGAGGCTAGAGTCTCCCTTCACATTTTCCTTGTTCCCAGGAGCTGAGGCCTGAGTATACACAGGGCAGACAACCCTGGGGAAACCACACATTAGGGTAAGTTTTTTTTCTTTTTAATTGAAGTGATATTCACATAACACAAAATCAACCATTTTAAAGTGTCCAATTCAGTGACATTTAGTACATTCGCAACATAGTGTGACCACCACCTTTATCTAGTTCCAAAACATTTTCATTGCCCCCAGAGAAATCCCTGTACCCGTTAAGCAGTCACCCTCTATTGCCCCCTGATTCTCTCCCCAAATCCTGGTCATCACTAATCTTCATTTTGTTTCCATGGATTTACCTATTCTGGACATTTCATATAAATGGAATCATGCAATATGTGACCATTTGCGACTGGCCTCTTCCACTCAGCATAGTGTTTTTGAGGTTCATCCGTGTTGTAGCATGTCTCAGTTCTTCATTCCTTTTTATAGCTGAGTAGTAATATTCTGTTGTACAACATATTGTTTACCCATTCATCTATCGAGTTGCTTTTACTTTTTGTTTAACTTTTTGAGGAACTGCGCAACTGTTTTTCATAGCAGCTGCATCATTTTACATTTTCACCAACAATGTATGAAGGTTCCAATTTCTCCACATCTGGGGGTGCCAAAAAAATATAATGGCTTATATTCATCTTTTGTTATCGGTGTATATGTATATATTGAGTATTACAATTTTAGTACAGTTTTTTCCTTTCTTAAAATGTGTATGCATTTTTTTAGCACCCTCTGCATATATTCATCTTAGTGGCTGTAAAATGATATCTCATTGTGGTTTTGATTTGCATTTCCCTAATGACTAATGATGTTAAACATCTTTTCATGTGCTTGTTAGCCATTTGTATTTTTTCTTTGTATGTCTATTCAAATCCTTTACCCATTTTACAAATTGGGTTGTCTTTTTATTGTTGAGTTATAAGAGCTCTTTATATATTCTGGATACTAGACCCTTCTCAGATATATGATTTGCAAATCTTTTCTCCTGTATTATTTGTTATCTTTTCACTTTGTTGATAATATCCTTTAATGCACAAAACTCACACTGGAAACTACATCATTAGCCCTCTGGTTCTAAGGCCTTCGAACAACTCCACCAGCTTCCCTTGGTCTCCAGCTTGCAGACAGCAATTCATGGGACTTCTCAGCCTCCATAACTGCATGAGCCAATGCCTTATAATGAATCTCTTATATGTGTCTCCTATCAATTCTCCTTCTCCGGAGAACACTAATACAAGTAGCTTTGTAGTAAGCTTTAAAATTGGGAAGTGTGAGTTGTCCAGCTTTGTTTTTTTTTAAATATTGTTTTAACTATGTGGGATCACTTATACTTCCATATGAATTTGAGAACCAGCTTTTCCATGTCTGCAAAAAAGATTGCTGGGATTTAGATAGGAATTGCACTAAATTTGTAGATTGCTTTGGGTAGTATTGCCATCTTAACGATATTAGATTTTTCAATCCATGAACACAGGATGTCTTTCCATTTCTTTAGGTCTTTTTTAATTTCCTTCAGCAATGTTTTTTTTAGTGTTCAGTGTACAAGTATTTCACCTTCTTGGTTAAATTTGATCTTTGGTATTTTATTATTTTGGATGCTGTTGTGAACTGAATGGTTTTCTTAATTTCCTTTTTAGAGTGTTCGTTGCTGGTGTATAGAAACAAAATTGATTTTTGTGTGTTGATTTGTACAAAGGTGGTTGGGAAGAGCAGTGGCTCAGGTCTAAGGATCTTAGTTGAATTATTAAATGTAATGCCTCTGGGGTCTTGATTTCCTCATTTGATAAATGGAGATAAGGTACCAGTCTTGTCTGTCTCACTGGGTTCTCTTCAAGGACAAAGGAAACCAGGGACTTGATTTTAAAATGTATGTTCAACTGAATTCTCTGAGGCTAAGGCAGGCATTCTCAGAGAGAGGAGGAACCTGTGGAAGGGGACACATTTTGGAGACTTATGGGAGCTTATATTGATTGTCTCAATGTTAGGATATGGGGGAGGGAGCTACTGGCATTTAGTAGATGGTTAAGGATACCAGATGTTCTACAACTGTGGGATGGCACCAAACAGCAAACAACAAATGTCCACAACTTGCCAGACTTTCAAAGTCCTTCCAGACCTACATCCAAGTGAGTTACCTGTGCATCACCCGAGCTCCAAAACGAGTTTCATTTTGTACATCAACAAAACCTTCCTTCTTTCTTTCTATCTCATTTGTATTTCATCCTTGGCTTTATCTTAGTCCTAGAACAATGACTGGAATTCAATATTTGTTATCTAAATAAATAAGTAAATGCCTATTTTCCTATTAGGTTGGTTGTTTATATTTTCTTATTAATTGGTAGAAGCTATTTATCTATTAAGTCTATATCAATCAGGGCCAAATCAGGAGAGACACCATACCAGTAATTTAAACAGAAAATTAAATTTCAATAATTTCTAAGTCATAAAAGGTGGTTAATTACCGAAGAGGTACAAGAAGACTCCAGGCAGGAATTGGCAAGCGTTTTCTATAAAGGGCCAGGTACTAAATATATTAGGCTTTGTAGAATAACAGGTAGAATCAAAGATATTAGGTAGGTGATTATATAATAAAACAGAAAATGAATTTCCATACCTTTGTATTGATAAAATTAAAAATATAATAATAATTGAGTACAAGCTTTGACATCAAGTTCTTTAAATGAGCAGAATGGAATCCAGTTTGTTGGGATAACATTTTATTGAGTTGGGATTCAAATGTAGAAACCATTCTTAGATGAAGGGCAGTACAAAAACAAGCAGAGGGCTGGATTTGGCCTGCAGGCTGCCCACCCTTGACTTTTTATGGAGGGTGAACATGGAAGGGATTGAGAAACCTGGAAGAGGGGCTCCCCACATGACTAAGATTCGGACCTCTGCAGAGAGAATGTGGATGCCATAGGTAAACACAGCCTACCAGTGACAAAGATATTTGTGAGCGGGCATGGGCTACACACACACACACACACACACACACACACACACACACACACACACGGACTTAATGCCTCAGAAAACTGGCAACTCTGGAAAAAGGAAAGTCCCTCCCTCCTGTTCCCAGTTTATGATGTCCCTCCAGCACCCTCTACTGGCAGAGAGCAACATCAAGCCAGCAGGCAAAGAAGACACATCTATCTATTGTACAAGATCTTTTCACCAAGAGACGTGGAAGTAAGAGGCAAAATCTGATAACTGGCACAAGAGGTGTTATTACAGAGTTATTATAGAGTGTTGCAAATATTTTCCTTGCCTTTAAAAAATTTACTTATTGAAAAGTAATAGTCTTATATAGTACCAAATTTAAAATAGAATTGTACACCTTGAAAAGTTAGTCTACTTGTCACCTCTGTACCCCACCCACTCAATTCTCATCCCCAGAGCTCAGACTTATCCGTGCTTTGTGTATCTTTCTGGAGCTGTTCTATGCATATGTACAAGGCTTAGAACATTGAACATTAAACTACAACAAAAATTTCTGTTATACACAGATTTTAAATGTTTCTGCAATTACATTTATTGTTTTTCTTCTTTTATGGTCCCTGGCTAATGTGTATTGTTCAAGAAGACCATTCATACTCCAAGATTAAAAACCACTTTCCTATAATAGTTTTATATTTTAGTGTTTTACATTTATATCTTCAAACCATCTGGATTTTATGTTTGAACAGAGTCTGAGTTGGATATCTAAATTTGTTTTCTTGATGGCCACTGAAGTGCTTCAATGTCATTTAAGCC